TGTTTGCACTAGGGGGAAGAGGGACTTCAAGAATGTAAACCGGCAAAAAAGTGCTGAGAGGCTGCATTTATCATATTTATTATACCATAGCCTTCTATATACTGACAAAGCCTAGCAGATCGCCACGAGAAGCGGCCGCCAAAATGGAAAAGGTGGAGCGGCAGACAACAGATGAGAAGACAGCCACGTAACTGGCGCCCCGCCGCAGCGAGGTGCCGAAACACACTTATAACGAACAAGTGTGTTTTGGGTCCTCGCCGCTGCAAAAGCTGTGCGCTGACGTCCAGGTTCCCCGAGAAGTGGCTCTTTGATGCTCTCTGCTACCAGATCCTCGCGCTCCAAGTCTGCGACCGGGCACTCTACGGCTCCGTCGTCGAAATGCCAGGCTTTGTGAGTACAGAGGAGGCTATGGTTATACATAACTGCAGCGCGAAGTGCTCACGCATTTCTTTGAGAATCAGCGTAGTGACAGAAGCGAATTTTTACTGGCTGTTTACTGACTCAAATAAGCCACAGGCGGTTCATAAGGTTGGGATAGTAGTAAGTCCGAATAGTAGTAATTACTACATTCGTGGACAACTTGCTGTCACTATGCAATCGAAACTAAGGGCGCATGGGCGCGCGAGCACCTTGAACGCCAATCGAAGCTGTGCACAGAAGGACGAGAAAATCGTCATTTGCCTGTCGTTTCGCCGAAACCTGTTTCGACGAATTACGATTTGTGGAAATCTTTTTATGGACACACGTTCCATGGACACGCGATTCGTCGACACGAATGTTTCATCAACACTTGTTTCGCGAATTTCGTCGCGCGTGTATCATTGGGGTGCGTGTTAACCCATCCAGCCGCCTCGTCTACGCCGCTTTGACGCGACAACCTGTGGTGGCTCATTACAAAAAAACTCACCTGACCAACCCGATCACGCTTATTACAAAAAAAAGCTCATCTGTGCAGTTGATAAAACGATTTGTCGATGAAACATCGCGTGTCGATGAAACGATCTGTCGATAAGACGTTGTTCGATGAAGTAATTGCCAACGCGATAAAGGCAGTCCAACTCCGTGGTGTATCGAAGCGGATTTTATTTTTTGTCTCAAGGCAACTGCGCATGGACCGCGTAAAACCTGACTCTCGTGCCCGGCTGGCGCGATCGCTCGCTGTTCACATCACGCGTGCCGGAGAGTAAAAGGCTTGTCTAAACAGGACACTTCAAAACTCGTGAAGCGACACAACTTCGCCAAAAAACGCGGAAGTTGAAGCAGTTGACGTCCGGCAGTCTGATGTCTGTTTCAACACCGCTAATGCCCGTGTCCCACTGGAGCGACAGACAGAAACAAAGGAAAGCGACAAGCCTCAAACCCATGCAGCATGCTCGCGACGGTACCTTTAGCAGGCGTTCAGTCGTTCGGTGCTCGTGATGTAAGCACGAGCGATTTCAAGCCTGCCAAAGATACCCTCGCGTGCATGGTGCTCGTGTTTGAGCGTAGCCTCCTTTATTCTACAAAGCCTTTCAAATCGCGAAAGGCTCTGGTTTGAGGTTTGTCGCTGTCTTCTGTTTCTGTCTGTCGCTCTAGTGGGACACGGGCATAAGCAAACATCACAACTTTCCTCCTCGCTTCCTCCGCTTTTCGGTGACCTCGGTGCTCGCGGGACTTGACGCCACCTGCCAATATTGTCCATCTATTCTGCCGGACCCTGGTATCTTGGCCTTGTTCCAATTACTCGATCTTATTCTAGGACAGTGGTTCTCAACCATCGATGTTTCGCGGACCCCTTGTGGATCGGCGGAGATGATGGAGGACCCCGTTCGTGGTGAGAGGAGAGGAAAGGTATAGGCTAAATATAAGAATGATTTAATAAATGGATATAACTAAGGGCTAGTGTGAAATAGACCTCTTTTAATGAAATACACACAAGAAGACTCACCCGAAAAATAAAACAATTCTTCTCGACCTGTAAAAGGCATCTTTTATTGCAGGGCTTGAGTGATGAGGTGGGGCGTCGCGGACCCCTAAAATGCCTTCGCGGACCCTTACTGCTCTAGGGCAAGGGTTTCGTTCCTTTGCCCTCGAAAGCCTACCCGCTTCCAGCGTCGCTCTATCTGTGTTATCACGTGACACGACCCGCCAGAATAACTCGAATCTACTTGAGTAAGATTTCGAACACAGCCATTCCCCTTCTCGTTTTTGGGACCTGAAGAGTAGCGGAGGCCTTGTGCGATGGACCGACAGCCAACCGAGCGTGTGAGGAACTCTCCGGACCCACGTGATGAGCATACTCAAGGCCCCCTAGAGGACACGGGCGAACTTTGACAACAAAAAAGAAAAAAAAAGAACAAACTGTTCCTTGGGGGGAAAAAAGGACGGAAGCGGATTGTTGCATGATTTATATCGGAGTCGTGTCACCTCACGATTTCTGAAGTGTCCTGTTTAGGCAGGCCTTAAAGGGGGGGGGGGGGGGGGGGGGGGGGGCGGGGTGCAACGATTTTATGATTAAAAGAATTTGCGTCTCGCCATTTTTACGTTGTTTATCGTGTCCCGAAATATAGAGAAAACATCTCCTTCATTAAACATGTCAAGATTCCGCTGCATAATCCCAAAGCAAAAGTAAAGATTTTTCCTGCAGCCGCATGTGGTAGCCGAAGGAACTACGGCGAGAAGATTACGTGACCTCGCTCGGCTCTAAGCTGCAGCATAACGCTCGCTAATGTCAGCAGAGAGAGGGAGAGGAAGCGTCCTCCGAGATAGCACTCGGGAACCTATAAGGCACTCCGAATGACGTCACTAGGAGGGGGACCAGGTGTGACCCTGAAGGCTGGGAGTGACTTGAGGAGTGCCCGAAATGCCAATATTTGTGTTTTTTTTTTACGCAACAACTAGGACACGCAGGCGAAAACGGGTTTCCGTTCTCTATTTCAGAAGTGTCGGAGGGCAACTTCCACAAATTTTTGGCCGAAGTCCGGAAATCGTTGCACCACCCCTTTAAGGTGATGCGCGCTCTGTCGCTCGCCGCCTTGCCGCTTGCAGGGAGGACCGGTGCCCGGTCGCGTACGGCCGCTCACGGGGAGGCACGGTGTGGGCGGCACGGTCGAGTGAAGTCCCCCAAAATCTATGCATCCTACACACGAGCGCCGCGTCAGTAACCAGGCGAATTGTGCTATTCATTCAGTACGTCTAAGTGCCATCGCGTCACGTTGGTGGTGGGCCAGGGGGGGGGGGGGCGTATATATTGGTCGGCCGTATTATGTTGGTGGCACGGTGCATGCCGGAGTAGTGCAGTGACTACTGCAGCGTACACTTGGCCTATCTGCTCTCACAGCTTCGGGCTCCGGCCTCTAAACCAGAATACAAACCTGCGACAGTGCAGGCCGAATCAGGTAGACGCGACGGCTGCCGCAGTGTTTTAGTCCTGACGTCATGGAACATTCACGGAGTAATTGAATATAATACACGAAATAGACGTACCAAACACATGGTAGGGAGAGCTTGGAAATGAGTCTCCTGGAAAAGTCCCGGCGGAAATTTTGGCCACAGACTTTTCAAAGCCTAAGCGATGGCTCGGCTGCCACTGGGAAGCTTTCGGGAGATTAACTTCTAAAATCGCAGTGCCTGATTATCATAACATAAAACCGCCACAGAAAGCCGGAAGAACATTTCGCCATTTAGAGTGGCACAGGTACACTAAAAAGAGTTAGGGCACCAGGGGATTAAAAAGAAGAAGTACTAAACCAATGCGCAAGGTAGGAATGAACTGCTGTAATCAAAATTAAACAACCCTGCAAGTATACGGGAAGCGACTCTGTTCAACGGTGCACGCCACCTGGTCACTTTAGCCTGGTAGCTGCAGCGCCATTTATTCGAGTCCGCCATAGTTTGATAACGTTGTCTGAGTGGATATCAGGGCTGCTTCGGCGTTCAGTGCACACTCGGACTCAGTTTCACGCTTCGTGCCCAACAAATGCCAAACATTGCTTCATTTCAAAAAGTATTCGAACACCGACGTTTTATTCGTGGTCACCGATTTGCCTGAACATTTGCTATACACACGGATAGCTAAAATAGTACCCAAATATAAGGGCAAAATAGTATTTTTTCGCCAAGTTATTTGATGTGCACTTTCTGACCTCATCGTGTTTTTCAAACTGAAAGTCTCTACTGGCAACAATGAAAAAGTGACGCCAGCGGCAGGCAGGGGTCCACTCTTTGTACTGGGGGTATTGTTCCCAACTGATGACAAGCATTTTCATGATGTCCAATGAATGCTTGGAAGCTCGCTTCCCCACACCGCGCAGCAGCACGACTCAAAAGCTCAGCACATTGAATTTTTTACTCCCTCCTCGACTGGCAAGCCTGCCTGCCACTGACGTTACGGTACTGAAAAGCGCGAGTATGTTTCAATGTTGGTTTTTACATAATTTTCATTTGCCGATTTGACTATAACGATCTTGAATTTCGCGATACTAAAGACGCATACCAGAAAGTGTAAAGCCCGGGGATTCAGAAAATGTAGTTAGTTGGGGTAGCTCAAAAAATCGCCGGACCACTCCTCGGTACAGGAGTAACAGGACAAAACAAGCCGGTCCTGTCTCGCGTTTTTAAAGCGAAGCTGTTCATGGCTATGGTTCCATGCATATTTTATGTGCGTTAAAACAAAATCGCGCGCCCTCTCTTTGTCGTCATTTCAAGCGCTTGGGTGTCTAGCTTCCTTCCGCTCTCCCGGGGTGGGGATCCCGTCGCGCGTGTCTAGTTTCCTCCGGCTCCTCTGGGCGGCGATAGTTCGTACCTTTGTTCAACATTTTGTGTCGCGTCTGTGTCGTGTGCTAAACAGCTTCGCTGGTCATCCACCTTCACAAAGTAGAATGGCTTATAATTTTTTTTCTTAGTCCCAGATTTAAATTTCTATCGCGTCCAACGTATTCCCACTGTCCCACTTCTCGACTGTGCTTCATGGCAGCAGATCTCAACTTGAAGGAGAGCGGTTGTGGAAAGTGAGGCCATACCCATGCCCCTACCTCCTCGGGGCCGGCGGTCTTGAAGTCTGGCGCGATGTCCCCCAGGCCCAGGGCCTCCCTGCGCTGGCGGATGGTGAGCTTGAGGCAGTTCTTGATGAGCACTGACCGGTCGGGGGGGATGCAGAAGCCGGAGGCGTCCGCGTGGGGACTCGCCGGGGCTTCGGGGGGCCATGGCTCGGACGGCGCCGGCCACGGTTCCGCCGGCACCGGTGGTGGCCGGAGCCTCTGCTGGAAGGACAAAGGGATGTGAGTCACTTCTCGCAAGCGCCTCGGCCTGTAATCTGGCGACACTCAGCAGCAGAGAAGAACCCCGATGCTTCGGGCCCCCCGATCAGTCAGCCCTTAGCTGTTCCGGGGAACCAAAGTGCTGAGGCCCCCTATTGTAAAATTCTCTACTGGAAAGTTTTAGAATAGGGGGCTCCTTGCTTTGGGTGAAGCTTGGGGGACCCAACGCATGAGGCCCCCTATTATAGAACTGTCAATGCTGTACCTTCTAAGTGCTGCGCGAGCACGTCTTGCTCTCATTTGCACGAACTGATCTGCGAAGGAGACGCCAAACCGAGCTACACGCTTGCGATCTGTGGAAACTACGCTAACGTCGCGCAGAACGGGAGGTTGGTGGCCGAGTGTAGCACCGCAGCTAAAAGCGCGTGAAGCAAAAGCTCACACTGCAGAACCCAGGTATTTCGGGTGATATCCCCACCCCTGCCCGTTTCGATCTGGATGGGCATCGTACCGGCGTGCTGTCGTGTATCACTACTGCGTGGTGCACGTGAAAGACCCCAGGCTATTGCTCATCTACTGCTGAGAGACAAGTCGCCCCCCGTTGAAGCAGACTAACTTCCAGCTGTTCAAACATACATACAATACAATGACGTCGCGCAGAACAAGCGATGTTCTGACCGCTCAAAGTTTTTTTTTTATTTTTTTATTTTTAAACGAGCTTTTGGATTTGAACATCTTAAAAACACGAGAAGAAAAAAAAAAAAAAAAGAAAAACAGGGGGACGACGGGTTGGTGCGTGTCTGCCGCCCCCTTTTGTTCCTCCGCCTCTAATTTTCATGATGTTCAAAGTCCACCTGCTTGCCTGCACGTTCTCTTCTATTTATGGCTTTCGTTGCACAAATAAATCTCTCCGTCCTGAAACCATGCCAAATTACCTAAGGAAGACGGGTCATGCTGCGAGTGCCGCCAATATTCGATGCTAGTTCCGCCGTCTGTAGTACCAATTCTTGTAAAGCTAAATAGAAAACATGGCTCCTAGCACGTGCGTTTGTCAGAAGCTTATGGTGCTTGTTTACGACGTGTTGTTCTTTTTTTATACAGTAGCAAAGTGGTGAATTAGGCTAGTTGATTTATAGTATAAAAATATAAATGCGCTTTGTATTTTCTTTACTCTTCTTGATCCTTGTCGTATTTGGCGCTTTCATGAGCTTAAACATTCACACAGGCAAGGCGAGCGCGTGTGTCTACGTGTACAGCATTCTCCTAGTGCACTAGTAATTTGGCAAAAATGTTTATTGCAGTGAGCGTACTTATTCAGCAGCATTTCCTATGTCTGCAAACTGGATTTTATGTTTCCAACGAAAAATCCAGTTAGATTTCCAGCTCTATAATCCAGTTAGCCAAAAGTTATACTTTTTTTTTCGGTAGGGTTGTGCACGTTCCTCCAAAACAGGAACGGAAGCTTGTTCCTTTAGGGCGCCTACATAATTAAGTTACAAATAGCGCTAGGACGAGGACAGACGAAGAAGTGGACAGGACAGGCGCTAACTCACAACTGACGGTTTTATATACAACGTTAAAGAAGAAGGTGAAGGAAGTGTCTGGAGTTGAAAAAAGAAGAAAAAATAGGTATTTTTCTAACCGGGCGCTCTAAGAGGATTGTTAGACTAGAAAGATTAAAACACAGCAGACCAAAACGAAATTAGTAAAAATTAAACACAGGTAATGATTTTGAACTCTATACCATATTATTCTGAAGGCTCGAGCAGCGCCTACATATCTGTGTGTCTGAGGATGAAGACATTCTTTTTTGAACAGACTCGGTCAGAGCGGGACGCGCTGGGGCACTCAGTGCGTGACTTATATATGCGGTAAAATAGCGTCTAAAGCCTGATTCACCTGGCCCACGTTTACTTGTGATTTCGCAATTGCGACGTTGCTCGAACGAAAAAAAAAAAAAAGCCTCGAGGAAGCTGCGGTGCCCGACGTCGCAGCTGCGAATTCGCGAGCAAAATTGCATTATGCGAATCAGGCTTCAAGCATTACCCAAGGCTACGCGCTTGAGCTGAGTCACACCGGGTTGCGCGCACATAAAAGACGTAGAAAGAAAACAACTGGGCGGGAAAATGGCTCAGATGTCACCACTGAAGCAAAAGCGCGTGTGTATGCCTCTACTTGACATTAATAAGATAGCACAAACGAATAAAGACAAAGATGCACACAATCTACAGGACTGGCTCTGACTGCCAGCTAAGTGTATTGCAACATGCGGCAGTCAACATGGGACAGTCAATGCGAAAGCATTGACTGTCCCATGAAGCGAGCCGACGTCATCAGCTTTGAAGCCGCGCCAAACGGCACCTTAAATCATTTCTCCAAGTGAAGACTAGAGTTCCTGTATAGGCTCCCTACGGGAGCCAGAGTTGCGCATTTGTTTTCCCCGCGCCGCCACGCCGCTATTCGCCGAGATCCATCACGTGAGGAGCAAAGCATCCGTTGGCGTGCAAGAAAGCCACCTTTACGGTCGCTCCGCCGACGTTTCTCTTGTCCCGGCGTAGGTTTCCCTGCTTTCCGCCTCCTTTTCCTCCTCTCCAGTTTTCCATGCGCGGCGGCGCGCGCGGCGCCGCTATTCGCCAAATTTAGTCACGTGAGGAGCGAAGCATCCAGCTCGTGCGGGAAAGCCGGCGCTACGGCCACGCGCCGAGGCTGAATGCGCAACTCTGCTACCGTAGGTAGCTATACAGGAACTCTAGTGAAGACAGCTCCCAGCTATGAAACCACGCGAAAAGCCTAGCCAAACGGCACCTAGTTTCCCCGATCACAAAGGAGGGGAGTAAAGCTGAGGAATTTCGGCTTCAGTCCCATTGGCTGGCGCGCGTCGACGAGGCTCCCATTGACCGCTGCGTGTCGATTTCAACGACCGCCACCCCATGGCGCTGCGTGTCCGTCAGCGCTAGAGTTCCTGTATAGCTACCTACGGTAGCAGAGTTGCGCATTCAGCCTCGGCGCGTGGCCGTAGCGCCGGCTTTCCCGCACGAGCTGGATGCTTTGCTCCTCACGTGATGAAATTTGGCGAATAGCGGCGCCGCGCGCACCGCCGCGCATGGAAAACAGGAGAGGAGGAAAAGGAGGCGGAAAGCAGGGAAACATACGCCGGGGCAAGAGAAACGTCGGCGGAGCGACCGTAAAGGTGGCTTTCTTGCACGCCAACGGATGCTTTGCTCCTCACGTGATGGATCTCGGCGAATAGCGGCGTGGCGGCGCGGGGAAAACAAATGCGCAACTCTGGCTCCCGTAGGGAGCCTATACAGGAACTCTAGTCAGCGCTAGAGTTCCTGTATATGCTACCTACGGTAGCAGAGTTGCGCATTCAGCCTCGGCGCGTGGCCGTAGCGCCGGCTTTCCCGCACGAGCTGGATGCTTTTCTCCTCACGTGACTAAATTTGGCGAATAGCGGCGCCGCGCGCGCCGCCGCGCATGGAAAACAGGAGAGGAGGAAAAGGAGGCGGAAAGCAGGGAAACATACGCCGGGGCAAGAGAAACGTCGGCGGAGCGACCGTAAAGGTGGCTTTCTTGCACGCCACCGGATGCTTTGCTCCTCACGTGATGGATCTCGGCGAATAGCGGCGTGGCGGACAAATGCGCAACTCTGGCTCCCGTAGGGAGCCTATACAGGAACTCTAGTCAGCGCGAAGGTACGCGAAACGTCCAAAGTCAGGGCTGCGAGGAGAGGGCGCGCTCTGCCTTCGACGCAAATACGCTGCAGACGAAATAAGGGAGCGGAAGAATGACGTGCATGCTTTCGCATTCACAACTCATAAGAAGTGCTTAAGTGTACCTCGAGCCTCTCTCGCTGAACACTGTAAACGTTGTGGGCGTGAGCAGCTCTTGAAAATTACGAAGGTCTTGAAGAGACAAGACAGAAATGCCCGAGTTCCACTAGAGCGAGTAACAGAAACAAAGGACGGCGACAATCATGAAGTCAGGGTCTTTCGCGATATGAGAGGCTTCGTAGAGTAAAGGAGGCTGCGCTCAAACACGAGCATCATGCGCGCGAGGGTATCTCTGGCAGGCTTCCAATCACTCGTGCATACTTCACGAGCACCGAACGGCTAAACGCCTGCCAATGGTACTATCGCGAGCATGCTGCATGCGTTTGAGCATAACCTCCTCTGTACTGACAAAGCCTGGTAGATCGCGACGAGACGCGACCGCCTAAAGTGCAAAGGTAGAGCGGCAGACAAGAGGCATGTAACGGGCGTCCCGCTGCAGCGAGACGCCGAAACACACTTGTCCCGAGCCATGGAATGTTCGCTCGTGCTTCTTGCGTTCCTTGGGCTACCGCTTCTTTCCTCGTCGGGTTTGAAAACCATGTTTCGGGTCCTCGCCGCTGCAAAAGCTGTGCGTTGACTACAGGCTTCCCAAAAAATGCTTTGTGCTACCAGGTCCTCGCGCTCCAGATCTGGGACCGGGCACTCTTTGGCTCCGTCATCGAACTGCCAGGCTTTGTGAGTATGGAGGAAGCTATGGATTGAGGCTTGTCGCTGTCGTTTGTTTGTGTTTGTCGTTCTATTGGAACTCAAGCAGACCATAAATAATAGAAGCGTTTCTTTGTTTATCAGGAAGGCTAGAGACAAGTGCGTTAGCATGCTATCGTTGTGTCTTGTTTACAAAAAAGTATATTTTCTTTATGGACTTGGCAGTACACTCTAAAACCGGTCTCTCATAAAAAACGCTGTCCCTCTGATTTTAGAGGGGACAACAATGCTTTCAGGGGGACAGCTCTTTTTAAGAGGGAAATTGAAAAATAAAATATTAACATCTAGAGGGACACCAACATATTAAGAGAGACCAAGGAAACCGTTTCGTTAGTCCCTCTGAACAGGAAAGACAGACAAAAAGATTCACGCGTGCCCTTCATATTAAGAGGGGACTGGTCCCTCTTAACTGGACCAATGTAGTTCGGTCAGGAGGAGGCGGGCAGGCGCACTAATCCACGGCAA